GGTAAGCAAAGCTAGTGAATGAGCTACTCAGTATGTAAGTCAGTACGTGGGAAAGAGAGTACTTAAATAAGCAAGCAAGCAAGGAAGCAGGTAGGAGAGTATATAAGCAGAAAGTAAGCAAGTAAGTAAGAACATGGGCCGATGGCTGGTTGGCACGCAGATGTGCAGGTCGATAGGTAGCTAAGTAGGTCATAGGCGGGTCGGTCGGCCTGTCGGCAGGCAAAGGGTGAGGTAGGAAGGTGGTAGGTAGGAAGGTAGCTAGGCCGGTACTCTGGGAGCGAGGCGGACAGGTACGCAGGTGGGAAGGTAAGTGGCCATATAAATCTGTAAGTGAGCGAGTGAGGAAGTGAGTAATTTTTTTAGTTGAGCACGGGAATAACTGAGTCAGTGATGAAGTGAGTCTTTGTTAAAAGAAACAAAGTATGTAAGCATCGAGGCTAGTGCATTGCTAAACCCCAAACCCTAAACCCTAGTCAGCTCCAAGAAAGAATAACACAAGTGCCAGCCCGAAGCCTGACCCAACCTCAAAGCCCCGAACCCTACTTGGAGGTTCATGGGTACTTATAAGTGGAGTTATGAGTCCCCTAATCTGGGTTATTAGTTTCGTTACCCTACTTATAACCCTACTTATGGCTACCCATGAACCTCCAAGTAACTCCATCCTTGTCAGCAATGGGAAAGAAGAAGAGGATTCGGTTCTGGGGCAGGGATCCCTGCCCCAAACCCTGACCCTAACACCTTACTACAAGGGCCGACTTAGAGTTTGGGGTAGGGTTGTGGGGTCTACTCCACTATAAGCGCTACGTATATAAGGACCGTGTCGAGGAGAGGAGACTAGGTATTGGTTTCGTTCCGACCTCTACGGTAAACCCTGAAACCTAAGAACCTGCGCCCGATAAAACTCCAAGGCAAAGCACCTCGAGCCCTTCACCAGCCGCATTTCCAATTTTCTTCAACTCCTTCCAAGTTTAGCGTTTATGGTTTAGGGCTTTAGGGTTTAGGGCTTAGGGTCCAAAGGTTTAGGCTTCTTTCTTTTCCCTCCTACTTAGCAAGGACGAAGCCCGCATTGCAGGGTACTTTGGTTGGACAGCTGAAAGCGGCTACAGTTTCATAGCCAGTTACTCGCATTCCCACAATCGAGGGACGTGAGATTCAAGGGCGTGGGTTTAGGGTTTAGGTTCCCAAATACGTAGTCTGGATGGGCTCTTCGGGTTTGGGGATTCTCAAGCGGGATCCCTTCCCGCTGTTCGTAGAAGAATAATATACCTCGTTGTACCGCAGGATGTCATACCTTAGCAAGTGCTATTGAGAGACCCAAAGACTCCAATATCCCTTAATTATGGAATATTCCTTAAATTATAGTAGGGTCCCTATTATGTCTTAAGGTATATTCCTTGATTATTGGGATATTGGAGTCTCTGGGGAGCAGGTAACGAAGTCTGACGACGAATGTCTCATTCCTGAGGCTCCAAAATTCTCTTGCTGTCCTCCGGCTTTTTCACAGTCACGCTTCCATGGACCCTAAGCCCAGTTTAGGGTTTAGGGCTTTTAAGGTTTAGGGTGAGTCCTGCCATCTGCTCTAAAATCTGTGCAGAAGATCGGCCTGTTCATGTCTGAACTGAATGCGGCTTCCGGCACCAGGGGAAGATCTACGAACCTCGGGATTCTCTCTAGAGCTCGACCCCGACTTGTTAATGGCACCCTGAGGAGAGGCTGCGAGGCCCTGCTAGCTAAAGCTGCTTCCCGCGAATTCCTTCTCATACCACCGGCGCATGCGTCTCCGCAGTGTTTCGGTGCCATCGCCTCAGATAACAACGTTACAGCGTAAGTTCGTCATCAGTTCTAGTGGATATGGGCTTCCTGTCTTGAGCACAGTAACTCCTGTCCTTGGGGTTACCTGAACCAAAATGTTGGTTGAAACAGGACCTGCTGCAGAACAGCAGCCTCTGTCCAAGCCCATTCTAGGTCTAGCCTACGCAGAATTTGCTGTTCAGACTTCTGAAAAGGAATTCGAATGATTACCCGCGTCAAAAGGCCCCTCACAGGAACCCTTGGGCCCGAAACCCTTTCAACACCCCTGAAAAAAACCGGTCGCTTGAAGGACATGAGCCATAAGGAGATCTGAAAAATAGATGTAGATTTCTAGGCTTGAAATCCCTGTGGAACCCTAAGCCCTAAACCCCTCAACCCTCAAACAAGACCTACAGAAGGGCCCTAATATACGGGCCGTAATAATTACCTATATTCTTTTTGGGGGCTCCCTGTTAAAAAAAACCGAGTCTAACTATCAAGGCCCCTATATTACCTATATTTCTTTGGTGGCTCCTTGCTTTAATTATAGCCCAGTATACCAAAAAAACCTAGTCTAATTTTTAAGGCCCCTATATTACAAGCCAGGGTGCTCTTCTCCGGGACGTTCTCGCAGAGAACTTTCCTGGTCCGAGATTTGAGCGGCGGTTTAGGCTTAAATACAGTAAACCCCATAAAGTTGGAAACCGGATTAAGGCCAAACAGTGCTGGGATTCCCTATATATGACTCTTCAGGATTGAGGCTATTGGGTTTCCAACTTTTGGGCTTCTACTGTAAGGCTTCTTGTTGCCTCGATGGGTCGGGTACACTCTATAAGGGTTAGGGGCGTCGGGTTTAGGTTTCAGGATTTCGGGGTTTGGAATGTCTGGTTTCGGGTTTCCAAGCCCCCGCTCCGGATCTCTAAATTCAAGAGTCCTGAATCCTGAACCCTGAACCCAATCCCTACTCCCAAACCCCTAGAAGCTATCCGCTGAAAGCTCCCCTTGCATCCCAGGAAAACCCTCAATGGAGCACCAACAAGCGCCTAAGCCCCTGGGTGCCATTTAAACACCGTTAGACGAACCCTGCCAAAACGATACCGATTCGTAAAATCCTGCAAAGAACCAGCCCTCAACCCGAAAACTCAAAAACAAGCTTGAACCTAGAACACTGTAAACCTCTCGACCTTACAGAACCCCTATCAAGCCCTGCTTTGCATTGAAAGAAGCACACTCTTCCGAATACCAACCACTGAATCATATACTCCAACCCCATGATGAACCCGCAAAAAGCCGATAAACTTTCAGATCCCTAAGCCCTAAACCCTAAACCTCTTTTCAGCATGGGCTCTGGGTGTGTGGTCAGCAAGCTGGAATCTTAAGGTTTGCAAACCCTAAACCCCTAAACCCTCCTGAACCCAGAACACCAAAATATCTGAAGGTCCTGCCTACACTCTAACGCCCCAGAGGTGCTCTTCAACAATCCCAAGCTCCTAAACCGACCCTTGAACCCTACTTGGGGGTTCATGGGTGGTTATAAGTGGGCTTCTAAGTCCCCTAACGCGGTTTACGGTTACAAGTAATAGTTACCCAACTTATGACTTATGACCCTACTTATAACTACCCATGAACCTCCGAGCAAGAGTACACACCCTAAAACCCTAAACGCACTTAGCCCTACAAATACGGCATACGAAACCCAGGGGACCCTTACAGTAGCCCTTAAAGGAACCCTTATAGCAACAGAAGGGGCAGAGGGGGAACCCAAGGAGGACTGGGTTCTTGTTAAGGAATTTCATCAAAGTTATCCCTAAGGGTCCATGTACCCAAATAGTATATACTTTGGGCCCAATGTACCCATATAGGGAGTACTTTAAGGCCAATGTATATAGTATTTAGGTACATGGACCCTTAGGGTATCATAATAAGGAAACCATGTTAATCCCAAAACGGAAACTTAAATTAAATCCAAAAACAAGAACCCAAACCCTGAACCTTCAAGCCTAAGACACCATAATTTAGGGCAACTTAAACTAAATCTCTGGACGGAACCCAGGACCCCTTAACGGAACCCCAAACCCCTTGAAGAACCCCCTAAGGGAACCCTTATAGTAACAGAAGGAACCCCCAAAAGACCCTCGGACCAAGGCCTCGGCTTGATCAGGAACCCCATGTAAGTCACTCTATTATTTGCTATAGATCCCTACTAAGATAACTTGAACTACACCCCTTAACAAGAACCCCCTATAATACAGTCTACGAAACCCAAGGGGGACCCTTGTAGTAGCCCTTGAAGGAACTACATCCCTGAACCCTAAACCCTAAATCCCAAACCCTGAACCCTAAACCCGAAACCCTAAGCCCCAAACCCTAAACCCTGAACTTTAAGCCCTAAACCCTAAACCCTAAGCCCTGAACCCTCTCTCTCTCTCTCTCTCTCTCTCACAGGCACTCGAAGCGTCAGGCCTGGTCGAAGGGCAACATCTAAACCCTAAACCCGAAATCCTAAGCCTTAAGTCCTGAACAAGAGCCCAGAGGAAGGCCTCGGCAGGACCCCTTAAGGGAACCCTAAACCCCCTTCAAGAGCTCCTTAAGGGACCCCAACCCCACCTTTAAAGCAACCATGATAATAACAGAAGGGACCACAAAAAGTACCCTTTAAAGGAACCCTAAGCCCTAAACCCTGAGCCCTAAACCCTGAACTTCCTAAACCCTAAACCCACCCTTATAGCACCCTTATGGTACCCATTAAAGGAACCCTTAACAAGAGCCCAGAGGAAGGCCTCGGCTTGACCATCGCCCAAAGCTTCGGCTCGGGCCCAGGCGCTGGAACCTCGTCACCATCCTCGGCACAGGGTTCAAAGGTTTTGGGTTTGGGGTTTATATAGGGTTTCAGGTTCAAAGGTTTTGGGTTTGGGGTTTAGGGGTTTAGGGTTGAGGGTTTAGGGTTTGGGGTTTAGGGTTTACGGCTTAGGGTTTGGAGCTTGGGGTTTGGGGTTTAGGGTTTAGGGTTTAGTGTAAAGCTTGGAAGGTTACGAACTACTCGCAGACCTCGCCCCGACCGAAGGCACACGAGTTTGCTCGAGCTGCCGGAAAAGCCGAGCGATTTTGGCGAGGCCCGCGGGGAGCGGTGCCTTGACTTCTAGTTCTAAATTGGTAGCGGAGCGAATAGCGCTCCTAGGATCTAGTTTTTGGCTGTAGCCTCCTTGCTAATGTCGACCTGTGGTCCCACGAGTTTCTACGGTGCGTGGCAGCAAAGCGATGTTCCTCAACCCTCTGACGATTCCCCCGAAGATCACGGTGATGGCGTAGACGGTGATGCTAGGCTTGATCCAGCTAGGGCTCCTCAAGGTGACGAACATGATGCTGCGCAAGGCTATGTCGCTTCGGGCAATACCTGGAGCAAGTGGAGTGAAGGCCAGCGGACAGGCTGGTGGGGACACTCCTGGGGTGACACTGACTCGAACTGGAATAGATCTGGGTGGGCTCAGAACTCCGGCAACGGTCAGCATTGGGATCCACGCTGGCAAGGCTGGCATGGATGGGGTACGGCTTCTACGGGATCCGGATCAGGAGACGGGATCTGCTACGATAGGGACTCCAAGGACTCAGGGACTGACCCCTGGGCTCGATTTGTTTCTGCGGGAGATTCGCGCGGAGTTCAAGACGGCTCTCAAGTCGGAGGATGGGGTCCCGCTACAGATGCTCAAGGCAAAGGCTTCCAAGGGAGGCCGAACGAAGGGGGCCGAGGCCCCTCCGAGAAGATGATTGTGCCGAGCTTCTCCGGCAACACCGGAGATCAGGGTGATGATATCGGGACCTCTGCCCGATCGTATCTGCGCCAGGTTTCGGCGTGGCGCCGCATGACGAGGATGTCGGTTGATCAACAAGGCCTGACCCTGTACCAACATCTCACCGACAAGGCGTGGATCGATGCAGAGCGCCTAGATGTAGATCGACTGGCTACCAAGGAGGGCGTGGACTACCTCCTTGCCTGGGCCAAGGACAGATACCTCGATGTGCAGGTGACGCAGATAGGCAGAAGCCTGTCGGGCTTCTTCCGTGGCCTTCATAGAAAGGCCAATCAGTCGGTGCGAGACTACATGGCGGAGTTTGACCGGGCGTTCGCCCGATTGGGCGAAGTGGGATGTCACCTACCAGATGTGGCAGCAGCATGGGTTTTCGTAGATAGGATGGGGCTCGAAGAACAAGCCGACTTGAACCTTTTGGCCTCCGTCGGAAACCAGTACTCGTTGAAGGCTTTGCAGCAAGCAGCTATCGTACATGATAGGGGTCTACGCAAACCATGGGAAACCCAGAACCGAGCTCCCCGCAAAGAGTGGACCCCAAAGAAGGCCTTCACTGCAAACATGGCAGCCATCGATGAGGAAGGTCCCGACGACGGCGGTGAAGATGAGTTCCTTCTCGAACAAGACAGTCAGGACTATGTTTCAGAAGACGTCGCGGAAAACCTCTACCATGCGTACATGACACATGAAACGGCTAAGGCCAAGTACCGTGAAAGCATGAAACTTCGAGGAAGTGACCCCAACTCCCTGAAACAGCTGGCCATGGACAAACTCCGCGTGGCTAAGTCGAAGAGCTTTTGTGCAGGCTGCAGACGTAGAGGTCACTGGCACAAAGATGCGGAGTGCCCTTTAAACAAGGGCAACACCCATGGAAACAGCTCAGGTGCCACCTCGACGACCCCGCCAAAGGAGACGGTGAAGCCCAGCTTTCCTTGCCACGTTGTTCATGTCACGTGGGAGATCACCGGTGGCCCTCCACAGGAACTCCTAGCTATTACGGATACGGCATGTTCACGATCAGTTGCAGGAGCCGGATGGATTGATCTCTACCTGACTGAGGCCCGCCGCTTGGGCTGCGAACCTATGTTTGTGCAATGTGGGGAAGCATTTCGCTTTGGGGCTTCGAGGGTGTTCACGGCGACCTACGGAGTGATCTTGTGTTTCGAGCTCGGGAACAAGAAGGTCTGTCTTAAAGTCGCGGTTGTTAATGGCGAAGTTCCACTCCTCGTGTCGAGACCGGCTCTAGGCAAGATGGGGATGATCATCGATGTAGAGAACAACTCTGCCTCGTTTCGTGTGCTGGATGTGCGCGACATGGCGCTACAGATCACCGATACAGGCCATCCGGCCTTCCCGGTGCACCCTGCTGTGATTCCGAAGTCTTCCACAGCCGCTCCAAATTGGGAGTCGACTGAGATCAAGATCTTCTCGCTGGATGAGCAATACATGGCGTGTTCTGCGGGGGTCTCTTCGGTTTCAGATTTGGGTGCTTCAGAGAGTTGGGTTGGAGACAGGGACGTTGGTTGCTCTACTAGCTGGATGGTGAGTTCACAGGTTTCCGACTCGACCGCGAATCCCTCCTCGGATACTCAAGAAGACCTTTCAGGTAAAGAACCCAACTTTGAGTACATGTTCTACCCTAAGAAGATTGGCAGCGCCGCAAAGAATCACTTTCTGGATGAGAAGTTCAACCCTGAAACCTTCGCAACATGGTGGTCCTCAACAAAGATTTCGAACGACTTCTGGGTCGAGAACGAAGAACTACTCGTACGTGTACATGTAGTGCCAAGGAGATCCTTCTTTAGCCCTCTCCACTGGAGAACATCCGATGTGCCCCGTAAACACTCTCTTCTTCGAAGCCTCGGAGCTGTGCGCACGGTCCATGCGATCTCTTGTAAGACACTGCGAGAGTTCCCTGCTACACACGGCATGTGGGAGAATGACAGTGATGATACGCAATTGCCGATGCTTTGGGTTGGCAGAACTGTCTTTCGTAGACGAAAGCTGATGCCCGCCCCTTCTTCGTGCTCCTTGCAACCTCGCGATGGCACTCAGGTCCGATTTGCTGACGGCCCCGATGGTTTCGCGCCCGAAGACTCTCTCCGAGTTCACGAAGGCCGAGCTGATCACGGAGGCCACAGCCCGCAATCTGTGGTTCCATCCGACTTGGACGGTGACGGAGATCCGGTCTCTCATACAGGAAGACCGGAGGAACCCCTCGGGCAACCATCCGGCGGACGCTGGGATGAGCAAGCTCACTCTGGAACAGCTGAAGGAGAGAGCTATGGAGAGAGGGCACCACCTTCCGCCGTATGCGACCAAGGGCACGATCATGCGCATTTTGCGAGACCAAGCGGGAATGGGGCCCCAATCGATCCTGGCCTTTGGACGCTTCAAGGGAAAGATGTTCAAGGAGACTCCGGAGAGCTATCGTACCTGGGCTCTCAAAGAGGTGACCTCCCACGACAATCCGTCGGAGGACTTGGTGATGTTTGCCAACTGGTGGCGCGAGGAGATGCACGGCTGGAGGGAGTCGCCGAACCGCAAGGTGATTGCGGACCTGGACACCTACTTGGACCCCGAGGAGCACGCGACGATTCCGTACACCGAGGACGCAACCTCCACCACGTCCTGGGACATGGTGAACCGCGAGACGGAGTACCCAGGAGCGAGTGCCAAAGCTTCCCCCGGGAGTTCGTCACTACAGGCGCCGAGGACGCCCCCGAGACGCAGAGGACCCGAGGCAGTGGTGGGACCGACCCCTACGACCATGGATCAAGACCTGCCGCCGGACGTGACGGACGAGGTGAAGTACCTGGAAGAGAGATTGGCCATCCTGAAGGACCGCCACGGCCTTCCCGGGAAGGAACTGAACCTTCAGGAGCTTTGCGAGAACTACGACGAGGACTACGACGAGGTGTACTTCGAGTGCGACGAGGATAAGGTGGAGTTCCTTTCGAACCAGGCGAAGGCCCAGGAGAACGACGAGCACCCCGAGCACGGCGACGAGGATGAGACGGATCAGGAACTAGACGTGTACGTGGAGGGGATGAAGGTTCCGGACGTCTTCTACCAGACTAATATGAACTCTGGAGGCAGTGGGGATGTAGTCCAACGTGAGCCCCCCGGAGTGAGCAGGCGACAGCGTGTTCGGGATTGCGAGGAGTGCGCCAAGGACAAGATGAAGAACAAGGCTTTCAGCTACAGCGACCTCCTCACCGTCGTTCGTCTTCTTCCCCTACGCAAGCTGCGCTCTGGAAAGGCATTGAAGCGAGGAGGCGGACTTCCCTTCCACTACTTCATTGCCGGGATGTACACCCACGGACCCTTCGTCGGAGTGACCAAGAGCGGCCAGGAGCTTCCGTGGACGATCAAGTACATCAACTCCTTTGTCAGAGCCCAAGGAATGGGGGAGTGGACATCCTTCGCGCTCTTCCGGAACACGGCGACGGAGTGCCACACAGACACTCACAATATGGCCGGGACCCACATCAAGACAGTGAGCTTTGGCGAGTTCACTGGAGGTGAGCTGTGGATCCACGGAGATGCCCCCGAAGGACAAAGCAGCCAGACAGTAAGCCGGCCGGGTCCTGATGGAGAACAACGACTTGGCTACATCGTTGACACTAAGGAGAAGATCCTCAGTTTCGATGGGAAGGCGCTGCACGCAACACAGCCCTGGGAAGGCGAACGATGGGCTTTGTCGTGCTATACTACCAGGGGCTACCCCAAGGGAACGATCGAGATGCGAGATGAACTACGTGAACTGCGGTTTCCTCTACGAGGGATCCCCATCTTCGACGAGCCGGGAGCGCCGAAGGAGAACGCCAAGGATCGATCCTACAGACCTCCAAAGAGCACCAGGAAAGGGCTTTGGAAAAAGGCCTCCAGGCTGGCGGCTCTGACGGCATGGTGCACTGCTGCAGCTTCTACATGTGTGTTCGAGGAGTACCCCCTTGGACGAGGACTAGGAGCAGTTTCTCTCTTTGAGATTGGCGGTTACGAGAAGACCCTCGAGATCACCGACCTCGACTACCTCGCCGCCGAGCCCTACGCCTACGACCACGAAGCCAACGAAAATCGTTCTGAACTCCATCCACAAGTCGTGCGGGATACCATCGAGGAAATGAAACCCGCGGTGCTCTGGATTCACGCCCCGAAGATCGAGGACCTCCTGCCAGTGATCTCAGAGCACTTGTGTACACAGGTCGATCGAGGAGGGCAACTGCTTATCGAGGCCCCGCCTGGTCACCCCTGTTGGACCCGGAAGGAGATCAAGAACCTCCTGGAGCGCTACGATAATCGGTGGACCCAACGGAAAGGCGAACCTCACCTATGGAGGATCAACGACGAGTACGAGGACATCACCCACCACGACCCCAAAGAGAACCTTCCGGAGTTCCTCAATTACATGGTGAAGCACGAAACCGACCGAGGAAACGAGGATGAAGAGGAGAAGATCAAGCGCGGCGCCGAAGGGATCACCTTTGACCAGGCCACCAAGATTGCTCCGGAAGTACGTTCTTCACTTCGGCGACTACACCAGAATTTGGGACACCCTTCCAACACCGACCTCGCCAGACACCTACGCTTGGCAGGGGCAGATCCTACAGTGGTCGAGGCTACAAAGAAGATTCGGTGCCAAGTTTGTTCAAGGCACCAACGCGCCGCCTCAGCAAAGCCGGCGAGTCTGCCGAACATGCTCGACTTCAACCAGCTCGTGGCAGTGGATGCATTCTACGTCTACGACACCAACGGTGTGAAGGTTGAGCTGATGATGGTGGTGGATGTTGGGACAGGCTTTGTCTCTGCCGGCCATCTTCAAGGCCATTCGACGAGCACCATGGAAGCCTCCTTTTGCTCTATCTGGAGCAACACTTTCGGAGCCCCGGGGACGATGATCGTCGATTTGGAGTCCGGACTACAAGCTGGACTTGGAAGATACAGCGAGTGGCATGGCACCAAGATCAGGCCGATCGCAGGGCAAGCACGTTGGCAGAACGGGACCGTGGAAAGAGCCATAAGAACATGGAAGGAGATTTGGGTCAAGCTTGTGGATACTCATTCCGCTACCCACGAGGAGACTGACATGGTTGTGACCTCCGTGAACGCAGCTATGAACACCCTACGACGGGATGCTGGTTTCAGTCCTGCACAAGCCGTGTGGGGAAGAAATCCACAACTACCAGACGACGTCCACAACGGTCCCCAAGACGAACATGTGGAACACATCATCACCCACGACCGTATGAGGGCCAGGGAACACTCAATCCGATCCGCAGCCAAGGAAGCCTATTTCAGATGCCACAACGACTCCCGGATCCGCAAAGGTCTCCTACAGCGTTCAAGAGTGGCAGGCCCTGATTTACAAGTTGGCTCCCATGTCCTGTTCTACCGGAAACCCAAGGGTAACAAGAACTGGGCATGGCATGGACCCGGCGTTGTGATCGGGAAGGAAGGACCCAACTTATGGATTTCCTTCGCGGGACGATGCCATCTCGCCGCTCCAGAGCACGTGAGGATGGCGACCGGAGAAGAGTTGGGAGAAGCTTTCGCCCTGAGGACTACGCAACGAGATCTACAACGACTTCTGGAGCAGGACTTCGCCGACGAGGGCATCTATGAACAGGAGGACGAGGAGATGGAGGAAGATCCGGTTCTACTTCCAGGTGACGACGAGGAAGAACCAGAACAGGAACGCGGAGAGGCAAGCCGAAGGAAACAATCCGAAGGTGCTCAACCCCCTGTGGTGAAACGACATCGTACCAAAGGACCGCAAGATCCTCCTCAAACACCAGCCGCCAACGAGACCTATATGATGAAGCTGGCGAAGACTCCCCGAGGACGGGAAAAGGCTTTGGAGAAGGAGCTTCCCTGGAGTCTCATCCCACCAGAACAGCAAGAGAGCTTCCGGCAAGCAGAATGGAAGCAATGGACGGAGCATGTGGAGCATGACGCACTGGAGCCTTTGTCTGTGATCGAAAGCCGGGAGATCTCCAAGTCCAAGCCCGGCCGCATCCTGGGCAGTCGCTTCGCTTACCGCGATAAGCTATGGTCCAGAAGGAGAGCTCAACCCGATGTTGGGTGGAAGCCGAAGGCTCGGCTTGTGATCGGAGGCCATCGCGATCCCGATCTCACACAAGGCTTGGTGACGCATGCACCAACTATATCCAGACAGGGCATCCACCTGCTGCTCCAGATCCTCGCCTCGAACCTGTCCAAGGGCTGGAAGGGGTTTGCTGGGGACGTCACCGCGGCGTTCCTGTGCGGTGAAGACTTGTCCCGCGAACTGTACCTAAGGCAGCCCCGTACAGGGCTCGGGAACCTACACCCCGAGCAACTACTGAGGATCAAAAAGCCAATTTTTGGGTTAGATTCACCAGCCGCGTGGTGGAACAAGTTCCAGAAGGTCGTCAAGAAGCTACGGATCCAGGACGACGGCAATGAGTGGGTGGTCGTGCAGAGCACCCTGGACCACTGCATCTTCATGGTGCAGCGAGTACGAGGACGAGATGACCAGGGAGAACTTCTACTGGATCCTCCTTCGGCCTACTTGGGAGTTCATGTCGACGATGTTCTACTTGTGGGCGAAGGTGGATTGTGCGACTTGGTGAAGAAGGAATTGAGCGCACAATTTCCGATCCAAGACTGGGAAGCTGACAAGTTCGACTACGTGGGGTCCTATATAGAGATCCTCTCTGACTGCGTCAAAGTTTCCCAGGCAAGCTATGCGAGCACCAGGCTTTTCGAAGTGGAGACCGTCCAGGACATCCCCGACCACTTCGAGGCCACCGAGGTCCAGAAGCACGACAACCAATCCCTTATAGGGGCTTTATCCTGGATGGCCTGTCAGACCAGACCTGACCTGCAGGTCGGGGTTAGCATGAGCCAACAAAGACAAAAAGCACCCACGGTCGGGGACGTCAAGTTCACTAACCAGTTGGCGCGAAGAGCAGCTGAACATCGTGAACAAGGACTTGTCTTCTACCCAGTTGACCTCGACTCCGCGGTGCTTCTCTGCTACCACGATGCTGGGTGGGCCAATGCACCGCAGTCCCAGGAAGACCCCTACTACCAGTTGACCGCCGAGGAAGACCAACAAGGGCTCATTTTGGACGGGCCCTACGCGAGGAAAGATGCCAAGACGAAGAAGGCGAACTCTACGATCGCCTCCCAGCTGGGCGGCGTCTACATCCTCGCGAACAAGGCGATCCTACGAGGAGAAGCCCATCACGGGAGTATCTTGGACTGGAAAAGCGGCCCAGCTAGCAGATATCCTTACGAAACCCCTGAAGCCAGATGGATGGTGGAACACCATCAGAAGCCCACTGAGGCTCACTTTTAAGGAAGGGGGAGAGAAAACTCTTTGTATAGAGAATAGTCCGGAACCAGTGTAAAGCTTGGAAGGTTACGAACTACTCGCAGACCTCGCCCCGACCGAAGGCACACGAGTTTGCTCGAGCTGCCGGAAAAGCCGAGCGATTTTGGCGAGGCCCGCGGGGAGCGGTGCCTTGACTTCTAGTTCTAAATTTAGGGCTTGAGAAGTAGGGTTGAGGGCTTGGGGTTTAGGGTTTATATAGGGTTTGGGGTTTACGTTTACCGTTTAGAATTTAAAGGTTTAGGTTGAGGGTTCAGGGTTTGGGGTTTAGGGTTTGGCGTTCGAGGCTTTAGGGGTTAGGGTTTAGGGTTAAGTTTAGGGTTCAGGATTTGGGGTTTCGGGTTTAAGGGCTAGGGTCACAAGCGATGTAGGTTCTGCTGCTCTGAGTAGAAGGCATAGCGTAGTAGTACGTTCGGGCGTGTTGTGGTTTATTACCCTTTGAAGCCTATATAGGTCAGTGATTGGTTTTGTAAGCTTTCCCTCTCGCATAACACAGCAAACAACCACAAAGAAGTTCTGCAGGATGTCAAGGGAAAGTTAGAGGCCCCTGCATTGTGTAACCCCTTTCAACCCCAACACAAGTCTATGTAACAATATAAACTCCATTTCACAATGGTGGAGCTTTTATTGGACTGTAATTGTCACTATGGGACATACAGTACTACTAAGGAAACTCAGGGTCCTTACGCCTGCGCCACCAAGCTCCCAAGTGCCCCCTAAGAAAGCAACTCATTCAGTCCCTGCAGAGCAGTCGGAACCCCAAACAAGTGAGGCAAAGCCAGTACTAACCTGTGGAATGCCAGAATCTCTTATTGAAGCCATATCGTGGAACCCTTAACTCTTAACTCTACCGTGTAAAGCGCTACATGTAGACCAAGCAGCCAATCGCACTTCGGCCTGTTCGAAGACCTGTTTCGCAAAGGGCCGCAAATCCAGCAATTTCAGAAATCTCAGGGGCCCTGCTTCGGGTGTAGGGCCTTCATAACGCGCAGCCCTTCTGAAGCAGTCCCATCTTATCAAGGGCAACAGCTCATAGCTTAAGCAACTTCAACGTGTTCGTATGATGCCGGCAGGCATCTGAATGGTAGCTGAAGCAAGACAGTTGTCAAGCAACGCGGGCAACAGGTTCGGCTTCAGGGTTTCAGGCTCTAGGATTTGGGGTCCGGGGGGTTCCGGGCTTCCGCGCCTTGGGTTTACAGGCTTCAGGGTTGGGCTTTAGGAATGCACTCTTGGTGCTAACGGCTTCAAAGCTTTGGGGCTTTAAGGTTGAGGGCGTTGCGGTTCCAAGGTTTACGCAAGAATCGGGGTTTGAGATGTAGCGGCAGTTAGGGTCCTTATAAAAGGATCCTACTATATAGGGTGCACTTGTTTCAAATTGCAGTGCTAAGAGCTTTTCTCGGGAGTTCTGGCAGCCAAAAACTAGGCTAGAGCTGAAGCGACGACCGCAGCTGGAATATAATAAAACCCTGAGCCCTAAACTCTGAAACACATGCCAACATGGCAAGAATCACGGCCCTGCTTCCGGCACTTCTGGGCTACAGTGCTTAAACCCTAAACCGAATGCAACGTCGCGCCAAGCCGAGGCGCCTTGAAGTTGTTAGAGGCCACTTTGCCATCCACAGTAACCCGGCCTTGGGCTGGACAACGACTCCCAATTACCGGAACTTAAGGTTTAGGGCTTTAGGGTTTAGGGTTTTAGGGTTTAGGGTTTAGGGGTTTAAGGTTTAGTTACCGGAACTTAAGGTTTAGGATTTCTTGACACCCACACTCGGACAAGCCTGGCAAGGTCTGCAGTAGTAGGTTCGACGACTTTACGTTGACCGGGTTTTAGGGTTTAGGGTTGACATGAGAGAAGTTATAGGCATCTTTAACGGAAGTTATGCGGATCCTGTCCTACGAGAAAGTAGGAAATGATAGGTTCCGATGGTTCTTACAAGCACAGGTCAGGCTACCCCAAACCCTCAATCCAAAACAGGATCGGAACCGTAAAATCCACCCCGGGACAAGTAATCCTATTACGGCTTAGGGTCTGGGACAAAGGTGCAACATAGACGCTCTGCCACATTAATGCCTAATGTGAAAAAACACCCTCTTGTGCCCAATGTAAGTGTAGACGTGAGAACCCCAACGGCCTACCAAGCTACACCTTCTGCGACAACGTGAAGAAGTGGCTGCCCGGTTGAGAGGCTTCGGCATGCAGAGCTTTCAATGCATGAAGCAAACGGCTGCACACTGGAGTAGAACCTAAATCTAGGCCCGAGATTTTGCGACATACTACAAATTTAATGAACCGGAAGGTAAGGAACAGTATTGCCAATAGTTCAAAGACTTACATGAATCACCCAGGAAGCCCAATACCCCTTGAGTATGTTCTATAATTACAAGGGGCATTTGGGATCTCTAGGCAGTTTGTGGGGAGCAAAGCAACGACATTGAACTATGCGCACAGAGACACACACACAACTTCATGGACGAAAGTGCTGCAAGCTGCAAAGTCCAGATGGCCAGACCCAAACCCCGTGTCTTGATGCTACTTGTCGACCCCTAAGCCCTAAGCTGCGAAATATCTTCGCCGTAGCTCTCTTGGAGACCATGGATTAGGGCTTTTTTTCCCTCCTACCTAGCAAGGACGAAGCCCGCATTGCAGGGTGTTGGATTAGGATTAGGGCTTACTTTAAGGCTCATGGGACTTAGTAAGTAAGGTTATAAGTAGGTTGTAATTAGGATAACCCCACTTAGGGGACTTATAACCCCGATTATAACCTACTTACTAAGCCCCATGATCCTCTAAGTAGGATTGAGGGTTCAGGGTCGAGGGCATGCTCACCAGGAGGCCTTGAGTAATTGCTTCCGCCGCCTCAGCAGCAGCTGCACAACAGGAACCCCACAGACTCCGAAACCGCTTGATTATATTAATATGGGTGGTTGTCAAAATTAGTGTTCCTTTTGGGTACCCCTAAATATTAGGTGCCGTATTACATTAGGGACCCAAAAAGGGACCCTAATTTTGACGACCACCCATAGGGGACTTGAGGCGTCTCTTGGAATAGGATTTCGGTTTTGAGTTCCTCACAGTAAGAAGTGGATCTCGGAGAGATTGCTAAGCACCACACTGACACTAGTTGGGTAGGATCGGCGCGGCGCAAGGGTAAATCATGCAGCAGCTTTTCGAAATGTCTAAATCCTACAACCCAAACCCCAATTTGCCTAAACCCTAAACCCTAAACCGTAAAACCCTAAATCCCTTCCTTCTTACCGTGAAACCCTAACCGTAAATGGCAACCTTCGACAACCTCAAACCCACATCCCTGTTTGTTTGAGTCCTGAAAACCTTGCGAATTTAGGATTCAGGTTTAGGGATTTAGGCATTCTGGTATCTTTGAAAAATGCAACAAACCTTCTGCGACTCTGCTCTGCAGCGCTAACACATCGAGCCATTTCCCCGGTTAGGCAGTAGGCGTTCCTCTTTCAAGCCATATTCTAGATGCATCTACAACTCAACAGTCTTATCCTTTATCAAGGGGTCGTGCTCTTGTTATGTACTTACTGCTGTCCCGCCTTATGGTTCGAAAGCAGCCCTGCCAGTGCGATGCGCCGAGAGAGGCGCTCGAATCGCGTGACAAGCCTCGGACTTTCGGTAGAAGCCTCTTTCGGATGGGAGGCCAAAAGGGGGGTTTAAGATTCTTGGGGTAAGGATTCCTTGATATAAACCCTATTATGGGAACCCTAATCCCTACTAAACCCCCATAGGCTAAAATCCCTTTTGGCCGCCTATGACTTTCGGAAGCATCCCCCATGCGAGATTCAGCGTTTAGGGTTTAAGGTTTCGGGGTTTAGGGTCTTAATTTTTCGTGCTCTAAATGAATAATATTGGGCTCTCTCAGTCTTCGGACCACGGCTAGCAGTATCAGTCTTCCGGTTTGGTACATGCTTTCTGCTAGCAGACAGTCCGCGGCACTTCATACAACAGTCACAGGACAAGACCGCGGAACACTCGGGCATCCGACAGAATTCCACTGCAAAACCCGGACTTTTTGTAACTCCGCAAGTGAAGGAAAAGGGTGACTTTCCGAAAATCAAGGGCTGTAAGGACCCCTAGCTTTCAGACACCCTCCAAATTGATGCCCAAACCTTAGACCCTAGTGTTAAGCCACTCCCGCATGAAGACCGAGTGGCATCTGCATCTGCCTGGAAGGGATCGCCATGGCAGCCGGCGGAGATGGTTGCAGAATCGGAGGGTTCAAGGGTTAGAGTTTCAGATATAGGGTTCAAGGTCTGAGGTTTAGGGTTCAGGGCTTCAGGAAAACATTAGGGTTTTGGATTACAAGCTTTATGGGGCTTGATAGGGTTTACGATTCAGGGTTTGAGATTTGGGGCTGAGGATTGAGGGCTTAGCTTCGGTTCTTTACACTTTGTGTATATGGTATGTGGGTTAGAGTTAGAGCATTGGTTTTAGGTGTGGGTTTGTGTGTGTGTGTGTATATGTGAGTGCGTGTCTTTGCGTTGCGTCTATTCTCGTTTTTGCCGGACGTTCGCACCAAGCGTTGGGTGATCGAGTGTAGATCAGTGGGTTTATGCTGAAACTGCAATGAGCCTATGTTGTAATGCTCCTTAGGAACAGTGTTGAATGAAAAGCTGAAGGCGGGGTTTGCCTATGAGGATTGTAGTCGTAAGCAAACCCTGACTTCACGAGCACTCTCCTTTTCTAGTCCATGGTTGGGACAGTATTCAAAACGTAAGTAACGAATGGGGATGACTTGAAACCTTGCGCCCTAAAGCGGCCATTGATCAGCGCCAATCAACCCTTTTGTAGCTGGGCTCTTAGTGTCAGCCAGCGACCCTAAATCGCAAACCCTGAACCCTTAACGTAGGAGCTATATTGAGTAAGGCTACAGTACAACTATTTCACGGGCCTCTGATGAATAGCATTTCCTTTATTGGTAAATATCTGTAGCATTCTCGGCCCC